TATATGCAAATCCAATACAGACTCATCATATTTTGTACATTTGAAATATATGATTTATTCAGCAAAATTTTCAGGAGACGTCATAAATTTTTTAGGAGGGAGGAGCAAATACATTTTGACTAAAAATTTACCATGCCTATGGAAACTGTAAAACATATTCAAGATTTGAAAGCAGTCGGTATTGTAGTTCCTGATTAATTCAATAAAATAAATTCACACATTCATTAATTTTTTGAGTCACCCTGTATTTGCAAATCAAAAAAATATGAATGGAATGATAAATCACAAGTACAGACTTCATAGTTTGTACATTTTATATAGGATTTATTTGGCAAACTTTTGAGCTGACGTCATCAATTTTTTGGAGGGGACAAGTAAATATATTTTGACTAAAAATTTACCATGCTTAAACTGTAAACCATCTGCAAATTTCAAAGCATTCGGTCTTGCAGATTCAAAATTTAATTGCAAAATGTTGCTTTGTAATTTTGATCTTTTTTCCAAAAATCTGGACGTTTCGGGTAAAAACTCAATTCTGAGTCGTAAACTACATGTGTAGGACTCATCGCATTAGTGGTGGGCCTGATTAGACAAAATTTGGTTAGCGTTTTACCATCTACATCATATTCCTAATATAAGTACAAAATTTCACAACAATCAGTTCAGTACTTTCGGAGATTATCTGTCTAATAAAAATCCGGGGCGGCAGACAGACGGACAGACGGACAGACGGACAGACAGACGGAAACGGGAGACCTATTTCTTCGTCCTCTAGGGGTCATGAAAGATCGAGAAAACGTAAAAGTAGAGAGTCGGCCGACGGACTCGATTACAATACTTCCTTTGCTTACGCTCGGAAAGTAAAAACGGGACAAATTACAGTAACATAAACGTCATATTCCCATTGCTTTTCATTGATCTATGAGAACCTGATTTGCTCATTTTGTCCCGTTTTTTTGTGAAATCACCTGGACATGTTAGGCAATATGCTTAATGACTAATATTTCAGGTATTATGCATAATTCCTGTTCCTCTGTTAGTTACTATCAATATTACCTAAACGTTCCCGTTATTATGCATAATAACTGAAAGTTTCAGTTATTACGCATAATTCCTAATCTTTCCGGTTATTATGCATAATAACTGACAAGTTTAGTTATTACGCATAATTCCTAAAATGTCTAGTTATTATGCATAATAACGTATTTCGGATATTAGCTGTAACATATACAAACTTCGAGAAAGTGAAAAATGAAAAAATCGAAAAATTCATAAACTGGAATATTAAAAATGAGAAAGATATTAAAATGGAAACTAGAAAAATCGTAAATTAAAAAACTGAAGAAACGAAAAAATGGAAAAGTGAACGATTAAAAATCTCGCAAAACTGAAAAACTGAAAAATTAAAAAAACTGAAAATACCTGTATTGTGATAAAATGTATGTAAAAAAAAACTAGAAAAAGTTAAAAACTAAGAAACCAAACAATTTGCTAAATAAAATAGAAAAGATAAAAATTTGAACATTGGAACATGAAGGTAAATTGAAAAATTGAAAGATCTAAAAATGAAAAAACGAAAAATTAAAATATCCAAACACTGAAACACTGAGAAATTGTAAAATTAAAAAATTCAAAAACTGAAAAGTCGAAAAATCGAAAAGGTGTAAAATTTTAAAATCGAAACATTGGAAAATTTAAAAACTAAAAATTAAGAAACACAAAATCGAATTTAAAAAGACAAAGACCGGAATAAACAAATTTAAAATAGAATAACTGAAAAATTGAAAAACTGAAAAATTAGAATATCCAGATCGTAAAACTGTAGAAACGAAGGAGCGAAAAATTGAAAATTGGGACATCGATAAACTTTAAATTAAAAATGGAAAAATTGCGAATAAAAAAATTGAACAAACGAAAAACAAACTCAAAAGTTTAAAAGTTGAAAAGTAAAAATAAAATGTAATATCTAAAACTTGCAGAATAAAATTAGAAAATATGACGAATCTAAAAACTCAAAATTGTAGAATATCTCGAAACATTTGAAAAATTAAATAACCGAAAAATTGAAAAATTGAAATATCTATTAACTGAAAAATCTAAAAACTAAACAATGGAAAATTGAGAAATTATAGAATCAAAAGTCAAGAAATTACAAAGCGAGAAATTGAAGAAAAAAAAAAAGAAATATCGAAAAATTGAAAAACCAAAAGTTAAAAAGTCGAAGAGGTGTAAAATCGAAAATTTATAAGACTGAATATCGAAAAAATGTCTAGTAATTAAAAATTGAGAAATTGAAAAATCGAAAGACTGGAAATTCTAAAAACTGAAAAATTACAAAACCAACTGGAAAAAACGAAAAATTAAAACATCCAAACTGAAAAATTAAGAAATTGTAAAATACAAAATTTGAAAAACTGAAAAGTCGTAAGATCGAAAAAGTGTAAAATTTTAAAATCGAAACATTCAAAAATTTAACAACCAAAAATTAAGGGACTCAAAATCGAAAACTTTAAAACCCCCAAAAAACTGAAAAGACAAAAAACGGAATAAATAAATTTGAAAATTGTAAAATAGAATAACTCAAAAATTGAAAAACTGAAAGATCTAGTTAGTGAAAAAATCGTAAATCTGTAGAAACGAAAAATTTAACGAGCGAAAAATTGAAAATTGTGACATTGATAAATTTTAAATTAAAAATGGGAAAACTGCGAATCAAAAAATTGAACAAACGAAAAACAAACTCAAAAGTTTAAAAGTTGAAGAGTAAAAAAAAATGTAAAATTTAAAACAGAATAAAAATAGAAAATACAACAAATCTAAAAACTCAAAATTGTAGAATATCTCGAAACATTTGTAAAATTAAATAACCGAAAAATTGAAAAATTAAAATATCTCATAACTGAAAAATTGAAAAACTAAACAATCAAAAATTGAGAAATTTTAGAATAAAAAGTCAAAAAATCGAAAATTTATACGACCGAAATGTCGAAAAATTATATAGTATTTAAAAATCGAGAAACTGAAAAATCGAAAGACTGAAAATTCTAAATACTGAAAAATTACAAAACCAACTGGAAAAACGAAAAATTAAGATATCCAAACTGAAAAACTGAGAAATTGTAAAATAAAAAATTTGTAAAGGTGAAAAGTTGAAAAATCGATAAGGTGTAGAATTTTAAAATCGTAACATTGGAAAATCTAAAAATTAAAGATTAAGAAACTCAAAATCGAAAACCTTCAAATCCCAACACAAAAAACGGAATAAACAAATTTGAAAATTGTAAAATAGAATAACTGAAAAATTGAAAAACTGAAAAATTAAGAGAACTAGAAAGTTAAAAAATCGTAAATCTGTAGAAACGAAAAATTGAAAATTGTGATATCGATGGTTTGCGGAATTAAGGTCGTAACACATAAAATCGAAAATACAAAAGGTCGAATAACAAGATATCGAAAATACATTGCGTCGAAACACAAAAAATCTAAAACTAAATACTTGAATTGAAAAATCTAAACATTGAAAAACTCAAAATCGAAAATTTTGAAAATCCCAAAAAACTGGAAAGTCAAAAAATGGAATAATAATAAATAGAAACATCAAAAATTTAAACACCAAGAAATTTGAAAATCTGGAAAATTGAATAATTGAAAAACTGAAAAACAGAAAAATTTTATAAGATCTATTCGGTAAAAAATCGTAAATTTGGAGAAACGAAAAATTTAAAAACAGGAAAATTAAAAATCGAAATTGAATTAATTAAACTGAAACATTTAAAATGCAAAAATTTGAATCAAAAAACTGCATAAACAAACAATATCTAATAAAATCGATAAATTGAAAAGTTGAAAATTAAAAAAAAAAATGTAAAACCTAAAACTTGGAAAAATAAAAAAGCGAATTGAAAAATAGTAACATTTAAAAATTGAAAATTTGTAATATCGAATAAGTGAAAAATCAAAAAATTGCAAAATTATAAAATTGGGGAAAAGGATATTTTAAAAATCGAACAAATTTTAAATAAAACATTGCAAAAATTGCTAATTAAAATATTGGACAAACAAAAACTAAAAATCGAAAACTAAATATAGAGAAATTGAAAAATAGAAAAGTCGGAAAATCGAATAATCAAAAAATGTATAAAATAAAAATCCAATAATTGAAAAATCGAAAAATTGTATAATCGTAAAACTGATGAAGGAAAAAGTAAAGAAAATTCAAAAATTGAAAAATTTATGATTGGAATTTAGAAAAATTGCAAACCGAAAAATTGAAAAAAAAAGTTGAAAAATCGAAAATTAAAGGTTGAAATGTTGAAAAATTGTAAAATTTAATAAGTAGTTTCAAAACAAAAATCGGAAAACGGAATGATTGAAAAAGGGGAAACAGTTTTTGCTTTTTTTCTTTTTTGAGAGCCCCATCGGCAAACTGAAAGAAAAAGAACAAAAAATATCGCATAGGCTGTTCCATTTGAAAAATCGATGGTTGAAAATTATAACGTTTTAGAATTTTTTTATAAACATTCTGTACATTTAATATTATTTTGATTATTTTACAAACATTTTGAAAAATAATATTATAGTTATATTTTTGAACTTTTGCATTGCTTAAAAATTCAAGATTCAGTATGCAGTTAGTCTTTAACTTTTATTTTTTACTTCTGAGTAATTATGAAAAATCGAGGACTGCGCGATAAGTGGCTCAACCTGTATATTAATGGGGTCTTAAAATGGGCGTTAGTTAACAAGATGTAGTTATCCAAAAACAATAATAATTATTAATAGTAATTAATTACTTTAATTGCTACTTTTACTAAATACTAATTGTTAACTAACTGGTTAGTTTGCGTAATTAATTAAGTACTTATGATGTTTAACTACATGTTAAACAAATTAGTGTTGTTTTTTGCAATCTCAACCAGACACCGAACAACTACTAACCTTGCGAGATCAGGTTTATAATGTTATGGTGTTTTTTGTTATTTCCATTCGTATTTAAGCATTCAAAGATCGGAAATCCGCATTCTGAAACGAAAAATGAACAGTTTAGTGCTCTGTGTAACATTATTGCTAATTTCTTACGACGGTCTTCAATCTCGTCAGAATTTTCTAACTAGTTCTAGCAGCATTTTAAATAAAAGTGAATCTCCTATTTGGAAAAAGTGTGATAGAAGAAGAACCGATTTTAACCAGTGTTTAAGCAAAACTATTCATAAGACCCTTAGACTCTTAGACAAGCCTTTGAAACTCTACGGTTTGCCAAGCTTGTACGATGTCACATTTCCACCAGACGCTGTCATCGAATTTGGAAACACAACAGATGGACTGAGACAAAAATATCACAATTATAGAATTATTGGTCTTACTAAACCGCGAAGTATACGAGCCAGGTACTCTTTTCAAGTGGAAGTAGTTAACAGTTACTTATATTAGATTTTTTTTGCAGACTAGACTCTGGTGTCGCCACTAACACTTTAACAATTGAGACCACTTATTCCAAACTTGTATGGAAATGTGAATGCGAAGCTAACGGAACTCTCGTTCTTTTACCTCTGAATGTCCGAACACCGCTTGAATTCACTTTCGGTGCGTTTTTTCAACAATTTAATAACAATTTTTTTAAAGAGGTTATTTCGTAGACAACCCAACTTTTATTTTCGCTTTTGAGTTAGAAGAATACGAGAAAGCAGCTGCTACTTATTTTAGAGTAATCGAGTCAGCATTCGATGCTCGAGCCCGTGATATAAGATTTGATTTTAAGCACTTATTTTCAAACACATGGCTAAATGACGAATTTAATTCAGAACTGAGTGCTAAAGGGTCTCAAATGTATGCTCTTGTTAAACATTATGAAGCTATTTTTGCGCCATACTTTGGCTCTGTGTTCAACAGTTTCCTGGAAAAAGTTCCAGTAGTTGAACTCTTCGACGGATAATGAAACATGCCTTCGCTAAAGAATATGGAGAAGGTCTATGAAAGCAGTGACCGGTGTAATAGATACACAAATAAATAGGTGCTGAATTTAAAATTAAATTAGAAATTAGAAATTGTTTAATCGAGTTTTATTACAAATAGAAAAACACTTCTCCAGCGACATAAACCCGGCGCCTCCACCTTTTTTAATAGTTCTACGTAATTATATGTATGTATGTTATAAATTTAATAGAAAGCGAAAAATTCGAACAGTTATTTAATTTGTAATAATTAGATCTAATTCATAAAATAACAAGATTTGCGAACGATGTATATTATTAAAATTGGAACTTAATTATAATTACTGTGGATATAGACATTTTTATTTCCTGAGCATAAGCTAAGGAAGCATTGTAATCGAGTTCATTGGACAACTGGCTACTTTTATGTTTTCTTGATGTTTCATGACCCCTAGAGTATGAAAAATAGGTCTTCCGTTTTCGTCTGCCTATCTTGTTTGCCGTCTATCCGGATTTTATTAGACAGATAATCGTTGAAACTTCTGGACCGATTGTTGTAAAATTTTATATGTATGTTAGCAATATCGCGTAGATGGTAAAACGCTATCCAAAATTTTGGATAATGTTATCTTTAAAATTTATATTAGTAAATATTATTTAAATTCCATAAAATAAGATAGTCTTGTGGTTTATGAATCTGTGTCGCGTTTTTGTCCTAAGTATCCAAACTTTCGAAAAAAAAAAAAAACAAATTGGTAAATCATTAATCAAAATTTATCCGTTCATGTCCCCTCAGAAACTGTAGTCATTTTACAGTTTTATCGAATAAATGTTATTCAAATGATAAAAAGTAACATAGTCCTAAATTATTTGTAGTTAGTTTGTTATGAATATGTATCTAATATTTCGTTTATTCGATTTTTAATTTTTTCAATTTTTCAATTTTTGACGCTTCTCAATTTTCAATTTCTGGATTTCTTTCTTTCAGTTTTTTTTTCAATTTTTCGATTTTCAGTTTTTTGATTTCTCGATTTTTCGACTTCTTGATTTCTCAAGTTTTCAATTTTTGGTGTTGCAACTTTGGGATTTTTCCGTTTTTCGTGCTTCAGTTTTTTTCCCTTTGTTTAATTTTTCGATATTACAGTTTGGGATTTTACTAAATATATTTTGATTTTTCAATTTTTCGATTTCTAGATTTTTAACTTTTCAAATTTTTGGATTTTTAAATTTTAATTTCTTCTATTATTCGATTTTTTAATGCTATAATTTTCCGATGTTTTAATTTTTCAATTTTTTAAATTTTGGATTTTTCCATTTTCCTATTTCTTGATTTTCCGAATTTTTTAATTTTAGATTTTTTAGAGTTTTTGTGTATTGATTTTTCGATCTTTCAATTTTTCAGCTTCTCGATTTTGGATTTATGGGATTTTCTATTTTTGATTTTTCGATATTTCACTTTTTCGGTTAATAAATTTTTCGATTTTTCAGTTTTTTGATTTTCCAAGTTTCTCTATTTCTTGATTTGCCGAAATTTCGATGTATCGATCTTTTGATTTTTCATTTTTACGATTTGTGGATTTTGACCTATTTTGATTTTTTTCAAATATTCGATTTTTCAATTTCACCACTTTCGCATTTCTCGATTTCTCAATTTTTGATGGTTCGATTTCAAGATGCTTGGGTTTTTGAATATTTCGATTTTCCGATTTTTCAATGTTTCGATTTTTCAGTTTTTCGCCACTTCAGTTTTGGAATTTTTCCTTTTTTTCGATTTCTCGATTTCTGGATTTTTTTCTCTATTTCTCGATTCCCCGATTTCTCGACTTTTTGTTTCTGCAGTTTTTCGATATTTCTATTTTTCAATTTTTTGAATTTTGGAATTTTTGATTTTTCAGTTTTTTCATTTTTCAGTTTGTCGATTTTTCAAATTTTACATTTTTTGATTTTACGATTTTTTAGTGTTTCTAATTTTTGACATCTCGATAATTCGATTTTGAAAATTTTTCGACTTCGTGATTTATAGATTTCTCAATTTTCCAAGTTTTCTATTTCTCAATTTTGGCAACTGCTCAATTTTTGGATTTTTGAATTTTGATTATTTCGCTTTTCCAGTTTTTAAATGATTCGGTTTTTCAATTTTTCGGTTTGATAGTTTTTAATCATTTCACTTTTAGACTATTTCAATTTCTCAATTTTTCAGTTTTTCAATTGTTCACTTTCCCAATTTTTCAATGTTTGTTAATTTTTAAAACTTGGATTTGGATTTGTCGATTAGTCGCTTTTTTTAATTTTCGACTTTTCAGTTTTTTTAATTTTTTGATTTTTAAATTTTGGATGTTAGAATTTTTGAGTTATTTGATGTTTTCAATTTTTTAATTTTTCTTCTGTTTTTAGATGTGTGCTATTTTTCAATTTTATGTAAATTTTAGATTTTTCGTTTTCTCGATTTCTCGATTTTTTAATCTGTTTCTCGATTCCTTGATTTTTAGTTTTTGCAGTTTTTCGATATTTTCATTTTTTAATTTTTCGAATTTTGGAATTTTTGATTTTTCAGTTTTTTCATTTTTCAGTTTGGTGATTTTTCACATTTTACATTTTTTGATTTTATGATTTTTTAATGTTTCTAATTTTTAACTTCGTGATTTATAGATTTCTCAATTTCCTAAGTTTTCTATTTCTCAATTTTGGCACCTGCTCAATTTTTGGATTTTTGAATTTTGAATATTTCGATTTTCCAGTTTTTAAATGTTTCGGTTTTTCAATTTTTCGATCTCATAATTTTTGGTCATTTCACTTTTAGACTATTTCAATTTCTTGGTTTTTCAGTTTTTTAGTTATTCACTTTCCCAATTTTTCAACATCTGTTGATTTTTAAAATTTTGGATGTTCGATTTGTCGATTAGTTACTTTTTTTAGTTTTTCGACTTTTCAGTTTTTTTAATTTTTTGATTTTTAAATTTTAGATTTTAGAATTTTTGAAATTATTTGATGTTTTCAATTTTTCAATTTTTCTTCAGTTTTTAGATGTGTGTTATTTTTCAATTTTATGTAAATTTTAGATTTTTCGTTTTCTCGATTTCTCGTTTTCTCGATTCCTTGATTTTTCGTTTTTGCAGTTTTGCGATATTTTCATTTTTCGATTTTTCAAATTTTACATATTTTGATTTTACGACTTTTTGATGTTTCTAATTTTTGACATCTCGGTAATTCGATCTTCAAAATTTTCCGACTTTTTTTGATTTATAGATTTCTCAGTTTTCCAAGTTTTCTTTTTCCCAATTTTGGAAACTGCTCAATTTCTGGATTTTTGAATTTTTGAATATTTCGATTTTTCAGCTTTTCAGTGGTTTAATTTTTCAATTTTTTAGTTTTCATCATTACACTCTTGGGCTGTTTCAATTTCTCGATTTTTCAGTTTTTCATTTTAACTTTTCCAGTTTTTCAACTTTTGCTGATTTTTAAAATTGTTCAGTTTTTAGCTTTTCGATTTTTCGATTTTGACCTATTTCGATTTTTTAAATTTTCGATTTTTCGACTTCACGACTTTCCCATTTCTTTCCCGGTTCTATTTCTCGATTCTTATGTTTTTGAATATTTCAATTTTTCTTTTTTTCGATGTTTGGATTTTTAAAATTTTTCGCCACTTCAGTTTTGGAATTTTTCAATTTCTCGATTTTTCAGTTTTTTGATTCTTCACTTTTTAATTCTTCAATTTTTTTATTGATTTTTTAAATTATGGATTTTCAGTTACTCGATTTCTCGATTTTTCGATTGTTCGACTTTTCACTTTTTAAATTTTGGAATTTTAAAATTTTATGTTTTTGAATTATTGAGTTTTTATTTTTTTCATGTTTCGGATCATCGATTTTCCAATTTTTCGATTCTTCAATTTTTTTTAGTTTATTTTTCGATTTTGTAAATTTTAGATTTTCTCGATTTCTGGATTTCTTGAGTTCTCGATTTTTCGACTTTTCAGTTTTTCAATTTTTTAGTTCTATAATTTTTCATCATTTCAGTTTTGACTGTTTCAATTTCTCGATTTTTCAGTTTTCAATTAAGTATTCACTTTCCCAATATTTCAATTTTTGTTGATTTTTTAAATTTTGGATTTTCGATTTTGGATTACTCGCTTTTTACGATTTTTCGATTTTTCAGTTTTTCAATTGTTCGATTTTTAAATTTTTTTGATGTTTCGAATCCTCGACTAAATTTTTCGATTCTTTAGTTTTTAGATTTTATCTTTCAGTTATGTAAATTTTAGATTTTTAGATTTCTTGATTTGTCGGTTGCTCGATTTTTATGTTTTTTCAGTTTTTTGATTTTTCTAGTTCTCAAGTTTTCGAATCCTTGATTTTTGTAGATTATTCGATTTTTAAAATTTTTCGATTTCTCGTTTTTTCGAGTTTTCGATTTTTGATTTCTGAACTTTTCAGTTTTTAAATATTTCGATTTTCCAGCTTTTGGATTCTTCAGTTATCCATTTTTTTAACTTTGATTTTTAAAATTTTGGATTTTCGGTTACTCTATTTCTTGATTTCTCGATTTTTCGACTTTTCAGTTTTTCGAGTTTTAAATTTGTGAATTTTTCTATTTTTTTACATTCCAAATTCCCAACTTGTCTCGATTCCTCAATTTTTAGATTTTTTATTTTACAATTTTGTAAATTTTAGATGTTTCGATTTTTCGATTTCTCAATTGTCCAATTTCTGGATTTTTAGTTTTTCTGTTTTTCCATATTTCTAGTTTTTAATTTTTCAAATTTGTTATTTTTCAGTTTTTTGTTTCAGATTTTACATTTTCTGATTTTACGATTTTTTCATTATTCGATTTTTTGATATCTCTATACATATTCGATTTTTAAAATTTTTCAATCTTCGCTTTCTAGATTTCACGATATTTCAAGTTTTCGATTTTCCAATTTTGGGAACTGTTCAGTGTCTGGATTTTTGAATTATGTATTGTATAATTTAGTTTTTGGATTTTTTGTTGATTATTTAAATTATGGACTTTCCATTACTTGATTTCTCGATTTTTCGATTTTGAAATTTTAGATTTTTGAATTTTTAATTTTTCGATTTTGTTGGCATTTCAAATTCTCGATTTTTCAGTTTTTTGATTTCTCAATTTTTTGATTTTTGCATTTCCTTTCTTATAATAATAATAATATATTTAATAACAAAATTTTCTCAAAACTCTAAAAGAACTATTTTTAATTTTAAATAATATATAATACAACTTCAGACCAATTTTTATTAATTTATTCTAGAATCCAGTTCGGAAAACAATCCCATTGCAGTCAATAAGAATACATTTAATTTTTGTAATTTATTAAAACTGTGTTTTTAACCTCAACCAGACGTCGAAAAAAGGCAATAACAGTTTCAAAGCGTCTGCGATTTCGATCCTTCGGTCATTTAGGTAATTAATTGTAATACAAACTGCAACAACATTGAATATGGCTTGATTTTTAACGTAAATGATGAATATTCAGCAACCAGGTTTTCGAATTATTATAGCAAGAATTTTTATGTTAATTTCATTTTTATTTTTTTTAATTTTATTTTCATGAGTATTTAAACATTCAAATATTGGAAATCCACAAACACACTCCCAAACCAAAAATGAACAGTTTAGTGTTGTGTGTAATATTTTTGCTAATTTCTTGCAACGGCCTTCAACTTCGTGAGTATTTATTGGGATACTTTTAACATCTTTCTAAATCAAAGTGAAGCTTCCAGTTTCAAAAAATGTGATAGAAGAAGGAGCGATTTTAACCGGTGTTTAAGTAAGGCTGTCTATACGGCTGTCAAGGTTTTAGACAAGCCTTTAGAATTGTATGGTTTGCCAAGTTTGTATGATGTGGCGTTTCCTTCAGACGTTGTGGTTGAACTTGGAAATAGTACATATGGACTAAGACAAAAATATACTCAGTATAGAGTCATTGGTCTTACTAAGCCACAAAGTATAATAGCCAGGTATTAATTTCAACTGTGTCCAAATTATTTAGTTATTTATTGATTTTGATAATAGACTAGATCCTGGCCCTTTGACTAATACATTGACAATAGAAGCTATTTACCCTAAACTTATATGGGACGTTGAACTGGAAGCCAAAGGAACTGTCGTTCTGTTACCTCTGAATGTCATAACACCACTAGAATTCACTTTCGGTGGGTATTTTCAACAGTAATTTTACAACAAACTATCTAAAACTTTACTTCCTAGAGAGTCCCACGCTGACTTTCACTTTTGAATTAGAAGAATACCTGAATGAAGTTACCCACTTTAAAGTGATCGATTCAGCCCTCGATATACAAGTACATGGTCTTAAATTTGATTTTAAACACTTGTTTTCAAACAAGCGTCTAAATAAGGAATTTAATTCGGAATTTAGTGCAAAAGGGATGCAAGCTTTTGTCCTTTTTAAACATGTAGGGGCGATTTTCGGGCCGTACTTTCATTCTGTGTTCAATAATTTTCTAGATAAAGTTCCAGTTGGTGAACTTTTCGACGGATAATGAAGCATTAGAGTACGAAAAAATAGGTCTTCCGTTTCCGTCTGTCTGTCTGTCGTCTGTTTTTTTTTTTATTAGACAGATAATCTTCGAAACTACTGGACCGATTGTTGTCAAATTTTATTAGGAATATCGTATAAATGGTGAAATGCTAACCAAAATTTGAAAAAACCATCCTCATCATTAATAGGATGACGAATGTTATTTCAATTTTATAAAATAATATAATTTTTCACATGAGGTTTATGAATCCGTGTTGAGTTTTTACTCCGAAAAAATTCAAAAATGAATAACATTTTCCAATTTAAATTTGAAACTTCATCTTAAAATGTCGAATAAATCCTTTCTGAAATTTGCAAAATATAATTAAAATTGTGGTTTGTTAGTTCATTTATAGATTTTAGAATTTCTTATATAGGTTGACTCAAAAACTTAATGTATGAAGCAATTTATTGCATTGATTAAAATCAAGAACGACTTGCTCCATTTTCGACCAATTTTTTGATATCATAATTTTTTATTTTTTGAATTTTTTAATTTTTCTTTTCTTTAATTTGTCGATTTGCCATTCTTTATTTTTTGATTTTTCAGTTTCTCAATTATTTAATGATTTTCCGAATTCTTTAATTTTCAATATTTGGATTTTACAATATTTCGATTTTACAATATTTTGTCTTTTCAATTTTGCACTTTTTCAATTTAAAATTTAAATTTTTGATATCACAATTTTTCGTTTTTTCGTTGTCTTTATTTTTTCAATGTTTCGATTTCATAATTTTTCATTTTTACAAATAATTTTTTCAATTGTTTAATTTTTCGTTTCTTCAATATCTCTACTTGCCATTTCTCAATTTTACAGTTATTTATTTTTCGATTTTTCAGTGTCTCAATTTTTTAATTTTTAGATTATTTAATATTTCGTTTCCTCGATTTTTCAAGTTCTTTATTTTTGTTTTTCATTTGCCCGATTTTTTAATTTGTATTTCGTTGATTTTATAATATCACAATTTTTCCTTAATTTTTCATTGTTTCTTTCGGTTTTATACTTTTTCGCTTAATCAATTTTTCAAATTTTCAAATTTTAATTTTTCAAAGTTTCGATTTTCCAATTTAAAAATTTTTCAATTTTGTAATTTTTGAATTTCCCAATTATCCGATTTTCGAATTTTTTAATTTTCAACATTTCGATTTTACAATGTTTTGTTCTTTCAATTTTGCACTTTTCTGATTTTGAAGTTTCTCAATTTTTAATCTTTCGATTTTACAATTTTTTGATATCACAATTTTTGGTTTTTTATTTCTCGAGTTCTCAATTCTTCCATTTTTTTTTTCTCAAAATATCTATTTCTCGACTGTTTGATTTCTGGATTCTGGATACTTTTTCTGTTTCGGTATTTCAATTTTTTCATTTTTCAGTTTTTTAAAATTCTACATTTTTTGATTTCACTATTTTTGACTATTTTTGGATACTTTGGTTTTTAGATTTTTTGTGGATTTTTTAAATTACGGATTTTCGATTACTCGATTACTCGGTTTACGATTTTTCTACTTGTCAGTTTCTCAATTTTTCGATGCGTGAATTTTTAAGTATTTTATTTTTCAATTTTGTAAATTTCAGATTTTGCAATTTCTCGATTTCTCGACTTCTTGACTCATCGTTTCCTCTATTTTTCGATTTATTGATTTCTCGATTGGTGGATTTCTAGATTTTCAGTTTTTCGATATTTCTAATTTTCAATTTTTTGTATTTTTAATTTTTTGATTTTTCAGCTTTTTGATTTTTCTATTTTTAAATTTTTCGAATTTTATATTTTTTTATTGCACTTTTTTTATTTTACGAGTTTTTCATTTTTCGATTTTTTGACATCTCGGTTATTCGACTTTTAAAATTGTCCAAATTTTGGACTTCTCAATTTTGGAAGGATTTTATTTAATTTTTCAATTTTTTGTTGTTTTTTTAAATTATAGATTCTCGATTTCGCGGTTTCTCGGTTTTTCGATTCTGAAGTTTCCCAATTTTTGATCTTTAGATTTTTCTATTTTTTGATATCACAATTTTTGTTTATTTTTATTGTCTTTATTTTTTTTATTATTCAATTTTTCAGTTTTACGTTTCCTCAATTTTTCAAGTTCTTTATTTTTTATTTTTCTTTTTTCCCGATGTTTTAATTTGCATTTTCTCGATTAACATCATAATTTTTTCTTTCTTTTTCCAATGTTCCTTTCGATTTTATAGTTTTTCGCTTAATCAATTTTTGAAATTTTCAATCTTTACTATTTCAATTTCCCAATTATCCGGTTTTCCGATTTCTTTAATTTTCAATATTTGGATTCTACAATATTTTGTTTTTTCAATTTTGCACTTTTTCAATTTTAAATCTTTCGAATTTTCAATTTTTTAATATCATAATTTATCGTTTCTTTAATTGTCTCTATTTTTTTCACTTACTCCATTTTTAAATGTTTCGATTTCATAATTTTTCATTTTTCCAACTTTCATTTTTTTAATTTTTCAATTTTTCGTTTCCTCAAGTTTTCAAGTTCTTCATGTTTATTTTCCATTTTCCTGATTTATTAGTTTACATTTTCTCGTTTTTATATCACAATTTTCTCTTTATTTATTTATAATTTAACGGTTTTATAACTTTTCGGTTATTCAATTTTTCAAATTTTCAATGATTAATTTTTTAATTTGTTGATTTTCTAGTTTGAAAATTTTCGATTTTGCAAGTTTTCATCTCTTCGAATTTTGAAGTTATCGATTTCCTTCTTTTTAAATTTTAAAAGTTTACATTTTGCACTTTTTCATAATTTAATTTTTGATTTGAAGAACAATTTTGCAATGTTTTTATTTTTTTGTTATGAAAAGTTCAAAATTCGAAAAACTAAACAAAAGTGGAAAATCGGAAGATTGCTAATAGAAAAACCAAAGAAACGAAAAATCGAAACACGAAAAATGAATCGAAAATTATTGGAAAGAGGAAAAACGAATCGAATCAAAAAGTTGAAAACCCAAAAGTTATAGAATTATCAAAATTGTAAAATTGAAAAACTGTAACAGTGAAATATCGAAAAATTAACTTAAAAAATTAAAAATCGGAAAATTGAAAAATCGGATAAATGGAAAAGTAATAACACAGTGAAAGTTTTAAAATGTAATTATTATTACTTAAAATGAAAATTAGAAAAATTGCAAATTAAAAATTGAAGAAAGGAAAAATTGAAAAATTCGTCTGAAAATTAAAAAACCGGAAAATTGAAAAACCGACAATTGAAAAACATCGAAACAAAAAATTGCAAATTTAAAACTCGTGAAATTTCAAATCGCAAATTTGCAATATCTAAAAGCTGAAACATGCAAAAGTTGGAAAATCGAAGAACTGAAAAATTAAAAAATAAAAATTGGAAGAGTTACATATCGTAAAATTGAAAAAACAAAAAAAAATAAAGAATAGAAAAATTGAAAAATTAAGAATCGAAAACACGGGAAATTTTAAATTGAAAAATTGAAAAACTAAAAAATTGTATATTGAGAAGTTGAAAAATTAAAAATCCAAAATTTAAAAATCGCAAAAATAAAAAATCGAATAAATGAAAACGTTTTAAAAATTTAACAATTGGAAAAATTCAAAAATCGTAAGAAAGTCAAATATTTTAAAAATAATACTCCTAGTTATTATTACATATTTAAAATGAAAACGAGAAAAATTGCCAGTCAAGAATTAACGGAACGAAATATTGAAAAATCGAAGGAAGAAAAGAAAAATCTAAAATTGAAAAAACCGAAAAATAAAAAAATTTGGAAGTTAAAAAACCCAAAAATTGAAACCCACAGATTGAAAATTTCACATTAAAAAAAGAAAAATTATAAAATGAAAGCATTGAAAAACCGATAATTGAAAAACAAAACCGATTCGAAAAATTGTAAATTGACGAAATGAAAAATTGAAAAATTAAAAATTGTAAACTCGTGAAATTTCAAATCGAAGAATTGCAAAATTTAAAAATTGAGAAATTCTAAAAATAGAAAATTGAAAAACTAAAAAACTTAAACTTGAAGAAGCGGGATTTGTTTGACTGCATTTCAGGGGCGAGGGAAGATCTGTCGAAATAATCTTCGACCATTTTTTTGCAATGTTCGTCTTTTGTAGCAGATCTACGAAAACAATGACCGGTGTAGCATGTTCACAAACCAAACTGAATTTAAAATTAAATTTAAAATTAGAAGTTGTTTCAATTAGTTTTATTAGCCATAATATATTACTAATTTGTAATTAGATCTAATTTATAAATGAAAACTACAGTTATCTTTCTAATTAATTGGAGCGAAAAGGTGGTTGAAAGTAATTAATTGAATCATTCTTTACACTGAATGACGCCTAGATATATTTAAATTAAAATTAATTACTGATTAATTCCAGTAAATGTCAGTTTATGACCAGTTAATTACACAATTGATGGGAATTGTGTCGTAAAAAATCTAGTGTGCAGCTTCCATGGAGTAAGTATACGTCCTGATTTTCTCCAAATATATTTTTATTGTACACCCGTTAGTGATTATTATTTAAAACACTATTATTTTACTATAAGTAGTACCATACACCTATATAAATAACTCTTTATTCCCTTTAAACGAAAAAGCTCTTCGCTGGTACTAGTTCTAAAACGTTATTAAACCACTTTTGAAAATCCACCGTAAAATACTGTGGGAATAGCTTTTGCAGGTAGTCGAAAGCTTCATTTCCATTTTGGTTAATTCTGGCGTTTAGAGCATCGTTCTGGGATTGATTATCAAATACCCTAGTGTAATTAAATATAGCTCTCTTTGGTACCATATTCAACGTACTGTTGACTGCTCTAAAATACACCACACCATTCCTTCGAACTTCATACATGTAGAATACTAATTCAAACGTCGGTTCAACTGAAAAACACAAACCATCAATGACTGTCACTCCACTAGAAAAATATTTTCTCACCTAAGTGAAGACTACTATTTCGACTTAGCACGTCCACAGGTATTGTGATAAACCTGCCACGTATTCTATAGTCAAACGTTACAAAAAAATCATTGAAGGTAACATTTATAGCCAAAATTTCCGACGCACGACTGAATCTGCAAAAAAGTGTCAAAGTCGATGTGTTTCACATTTTTAAGTATAGTACGAGGCGCTAGTCGAGTTTATGTTAGTAAATCCAAAAATTTCAATGTTACTGTAGGTTTGTCGAAGACCGGTTTTAGAGTTTCCATAGACGGCAGTATGACCTGGCTTGAAAGGATCGATAACTGGTAAATCGTAGTCGGGTATTGGCACTTTTAGCTGTATGATGGCATGTTGAATGGCATCTGATAGACATTGGTTGAAACTCGGAAGGTGTATATCACATCTTCCAATAAAATCTGGTACTAAAAAAACGTTTCAGTTTTGAAAAAAATGGGAAAATGCACTCACCTGGCCCTAAGCAGTAGACGAAGATTATGAGGGCTGTTGGAAGGATTAACGACAAAGTTTTCATTTTTGGTATTACGATTTGGTGACCAGGGTTTCTGTATTTATAGGAGAACTGATTTTTTTTGGAAGATAACGAATATTTATTGCCACATTTTTGTCACTAAAGGTACAATTTACTAGATTAATTGCAATTATAGATGGAAATTTATTTTAATAATAATGGAATTATATAATTCATGCATGCGTTAAAACATAAAGTGCGTACATTATGAAGACCTCAGTAAATATTCGTCAAAGTTTATGAGCACCTACACTCCATTATCTAACAATGAATTATGATGAGTTTCTAAGAGTGAAATATTCGTACGTTACAAGGGTGACAGTGTAGCAAACTAATATATTAAGATCTTTATTATCATCATTATCCAAACACGTGTGGCAATAAAATACACGAAATTTTTTTAATGGAGTTTCATAGCTCCTAGATTTTGAAAAAGTAGGTCCTCCATTTCCGTTTGCAAGTTGTCTGTCGTCTGTTTTATTAAACAATCTCCATAGCTGCCAGACTGAATGTTGTGAAATTTTAGATTTAAGTATTTTAAAAATATTGTACCGATTGTTCATTCCTTCGGGAAAATTGATGACGTCATCTCAAAATTTTGCCGACTCTAAAATAAATTGTGGTTTGTCAATTCATTCATAGATTTTAGATAATACTTATATACGGCGATTCAAAACAGTAATATATATGAGGTAATTTAAAAAATCAAGAATAATTTACTCCATTTTCGAGCAATTTATTGATATCACAAATTTTCGATTTTTCATTTTCTTTATTTTTTATAATAATTCCATTTTTCAATGTTTCGATTTAATAATTTTTCTTCAATTTTTCGATTTGTAGTTTTTCAAGTTTGCAGTTTTTCATTTTTCGATGTTTCAGTTTCCCAATTTTTTAATTTTTCGATTTTTCAAGTTCTTTATTTTTATTTTTCTTTTTTTGGATTTTTTAGTTTGCATGTTCTCGATTTTATATCACAATACCTCGTTTCTTCATTTCCTTTTTCCAATGTTTCTTTCGGCTTTATAATTTTTCGCTTACTCAATTTTTCAAATTTTCAATCTTTGATTTCATCTTAAACTTTTGTCGAATAAATCCTTCCTGAAATATGCAAAATATAATGACTTTAGATTGTGATTTGTTAATGCACTTATAGATTTTAGAATTACTTATATAGGGTGACTCAAAAAATTAATATGTGAGGAACTTTATTGAAATCAAGAACGACTCACTCCATTTTCGACCAATTTTTTCTTTTTTTTTGTTAAAATTTTTTGGTACCTGAATTTTTCGTTTTTTCGTTTTACTTGATTTTTTCGATTTTACAATATTTTGGTTTTCTCAGTTCTGCCCTTTTTCGATTGTAGTTTCTCAATTTTTAATCTTTCGATTTTACATTTTACATAATTTTTCGTTCTTTCATTTTTTTTATTTTTTTTTAGTTTTTTCAATTTTCAATTCTTCGTTTTCTCAATTTTTCATTTTCTCAATTTCATAATATTACAATTTTTCCTTAATTTTTTCAATGTTTTTTCGGTTTTATAATTTTTCGCTTAATCAATTTTTCAAATTTTAATTTTTCGATTTTCCAAAATAAAAATTTTTCAATAATGCAATTTTTAAATCTCTCAATTATCCGCTTTTCCGATTTCTTTAATTTTAATTTTTGGATTTTACAATATTCTGTTTTTTTCGAATTTGCACTTCGATTTTGAAGTTTCTCAATTTTTATTCTTTCGATTTTTCAATTTTTCGTCTCTTCAATTTTTCAAATGCTTGATTTACAATTTTTAGATTATTCAAAATCTTCGTTTTGCACTTTCTCGGAATTTTATTTTTGATTTTTCAAATTTTAAAATTTTGCTATTTGTCCCTATTTTTCATTTGAAAAGTTGAAAAATCGAAAAATTTGTAATCGAAAAACTAAAAAATCGGAAAAAATTGCAAAATCGAAACGGTGGAAAATCGGAAGATTTCAAATCGAAGAATTGAAGAAACCAAAAACTGGAACGTTAAAAAACTAAAACTCGATAATCCAAAAAATCTAAAAAATATTAAATCGAAAAATTGGAAAGAAGAAAAAACGAATCGAATCGAAAAATTGGAAAACTCATGTCATAGAATCCTCAAAATGGTAAAGTTGAAGAACTGTAACACTGAAAGAATGAAAAATTGAAAAATTAAACAAGGAGAAATTCAAAATTTAAAAATCGAAAAATTAAGAATCGAAAAACAAAAAAATCGAAAAAAATTGAAAAATTGAAAAACTGAATAAACGGAAAATTGCAAATCGAAAAAGTGGAAAATGGGAAGATTGCAAATCGAAAAATTGAAGAAACAAAATTTGAAAAATCCGGAAACTGAAAAATCTGAATTTGGGAAAACGAAAAATTAAAAAATCAAAAAATCTGAAATTTGAGTTTACGATGTTTTGTTTTTTCAATTTTTCGTTTATTCAATTTCTCAAGTTCTTGTTTTCCAATTTTTAGATTTTTCAAAGTTTTCATTTTACAGTTTTTCATAATACCAGTTTTAATTTCTCAATTTTACAATTTTGCTATTTTTCCATTTTTTTTAGCGAAAAGTTGAAAAACCGAAAGACTGAATAATCGAAAAATTAGAAAATTGGAAAAAATTGAAAAATCGAAAATTAAAAATCGCTCAATTGAAAAATCGAATGAAAAATGTAAAAGTTTTAAAATCCAAAAATTGAAAAATGGAAAAATTTGAAAATTGTAAATTTAAGAATTTTAAAAATTATAATTATTTTTACAAATTTAAAACAAAAACTAGAAAATTTGCAAATTGGGAATCGAAAAATCGAAAAACTGAAAAATTTAAATTGAAACATAAAAACTTAAAAAATCTCAAAGTGGAAAAATCGAAAAATTGGAAAATCCAAAAATTATAGAATTCTCAAAATTGTAAACTCGTAGAACTGTAACACTGCGAGCAAGAATGAAAAATTAAGAATCGGAAAAAAAAATCGGAAATAATTGAAAAACCGAATTAACGAGAAATTGCAAAATTGAAAAAGTGGAAATTGGGAAGATTGCAAATCAAAAAACTGAAGGAACGGAAAATTTGAAACACTGAAAAACTAAAAGTCGAAAATCTAAAAACTCTAAAAAAATTGACGAATCCAATCGAAAAATTGGAAAACGCAAAAATTATAGAATCGTCAAAATTGTAATGTCATAAAACTGTAACTGTAACGTTGAAAGATCGAAATATTATATATATAGGAATTTAAAAATTCAAAATGGAAAAATTAAAAATCGAAAAATTGAAAAATCGAATAAATGAAAAAGCTTTAAAATCCAATATCTGAAAAATTCAAAAATTGTAAAGTTTTAAAAATCATAATTATTATTACAAATTTAAAATGAAAATTAGAAACCTTGCAAATCGAAAACTGAAAAATCGGGAAACTGAAAAATTTAAATTTGAAACATGAAAACTTAAAATAAGTATCTCAAAGTTGAAAAACCGAAAAATTGAAAAATTTCACAATGAAAAAAAGAAAAGTGATAAAATCAGAACCTTGCAAAAAAAATTGAAAAGATAAAGAAAATAAGAACCAAAATGAAAAATTGCAAATCGAAAAATTGGAGAAATGATAAAAATATAATGAAGCGAAAAATTGGAAAGAAGAAAAAACGAATCGAATCCAAAAATTGGAAAACCCAAAAGTTTTAAAGAATCCTCAAATTTTACAGTTGAAGAAATGTAACACTGAAAAAATGAAAAATTGAAAAATTACATATCGAGGAATTAAAAAATTAAATATCGTGAAATTAAGAATAGAAAAACAAAAAATCGGAAAAACTGGAAAAATCGAAAAACTGAATAAACGAGAAACTAGAAAATCAAAAAAGGGGAAGATTACAAATCGAAGAACTGAAGAAACGAAAATTTGAAAATCGAGAAGCTGAAAAATCTGAAATTGGAAAAACGAAAAATTAAAAATGTGAAATTTGAGTTGTTGTTTTTTCAATTTTGAAGTTTCTCAATTTTTAATGTTTCGATTTTTTAATATTTCGATTTTTTAATTTTTCGTTTATTGAATTTTTCAAGTTCTTGATTTCAAATTTTTAAATTTTTCAAAGTTTTCATTTTACAGTTTTTCGTAATTTCATTTTTAATTTTCCAATTTTCCAATTTTGCTATTTAAATTTTTTTTTTTATTCGAAAAGGTGAAAAACCTAAAGGCTGAATTATCGAAAAATTAAAAAATCGGAAAAAATTGAAAGATCGAAAATGTGGAAAATCGGAAGATTGCAAATCGAAGAACTGAAGAAACGAAACATTGAAAAACTGAAAATCATGTAACCAAAAAATCAAAAGAAATCAATGAATCGAAAAATTGGAAAACTCAAAATTTATAGATTCTTCAAAATTGTGCAGCGAAAAAGTGTAACACTGAAATATCGAAAAGTCATAGAATCATCAAAATGGTAAAGTTGAAGAACTGTAACACTGAAAGAATGAAAAATTGAAAAATTAAACAACGAGAAATTCAAAATTTATAAATCGAAAAATTAAGAATCCAAAAACAAAAAAAATCGAAAAAATTTGAAAAATTGGAAAACGGAATAAACGAGAAATTGTAAAATCGAAAAAGTGGGAAATGGGAAGTTTGCAAATCGAAAAATTGAAGAAACAAAATTTGAAAAATCAGAAACTGAAAAATATGAAATTGGGGAAACGAAAAATTAAAAAATCAAAATCTGAAATTTGAGTTTACGATGTTTTGTCCTTGCAATTTTTCGTTTATTCAAATTTTCAAGTTCTTGATTTCCAATTTTTAGATTTTTCAAAGTTTTCATTTTACATTTTTCGTAATACCATTTTTAATTTTTCACTTTTACAATTTTGCTATTTTTCCATTTTTTTTTTATTCGAAAAGTTGAAAAACCATAAGACTGACTGAATAATCGAAAATTTAAAAAATTGGAAAAAATTGAAAAATCGAAAATTAAAAATCACAGAATTGAAAAATCGAATAAAAAATGCAAAAGTTTTAAAATCCAAAAATTGAGAAACGGAAAAATTAAAAAATTGTAAAATTTAAAAATTTTAAAAATCATAATTCTTATTGCGTATTTAAAACAAAAACTAGGAAATTTGCAAATTGGGAATCGAAAAATCGAAAAACTGAAAAATTTAAATTGAAACATGAAAACTTAAAAAATCTCAAAGTGGAAAAATCCAAAAATTAAAAAATTTCACATTGAAAAAAAGAAAAATTATAAAATCAGAACTTTGAAAAAAAAAATTGAAAGGATAAAGAAAATAAAAAACCTAATTGGAAAATTGCAAATCGGAAAATTGAAGAAATGATAAATTGAAAAATAAAAAAAAAATGAATCGAAAAATTAGAAAGAAGTAAAGACGTATCGAATCGAAAAATTGGAAAATCCAAAAATTATAGAATTCTCAAAATTGTAAAGTCGTAAAACTGTAACATTGCAAGAATGAAAAATCGAAAAATTAAGAATCGGAAAAAAAAAATCGGAAATAATTGAAAAACCGAATAAACGAGAAATTGCAAAATTGAAAAAGTGGAAATTGGGAAGATTGCAAATCAAAAAACTGAAGAAACGAAAATTTGGAACACTGAAAAACTAAAAGTCGAAAATCTAAAAACTCTAAAAAATTAACGAATCCAATCGAAAAATTGGAAAACGCAAAAATTTTAGAATCGTCAAAATTGTAATGTCAAAAAACTGTAACTGTAACATTGAAAGATCGAAATATTATATATACATATAGGAATTCAAAAACTCAAAATGGAAAAATTAAAAATCGAAAAATTGAAAAATCGAATAAATGAAAAAGCTTTAAAATCCAATATCTGAAAAATTCAAAAATTGTAAAGTTTTAAAAATCATAATTATTATTACAAATTTAAAATGAAAATTAGAAACCTTGCAAATCGAAAACTGAAAAATCGAGAAACTCAAAAATTTAAATTTGAAACATGAAAACTTAAAATAAGTATCTCAAAGTTGAAAAACCGAAAAATTGAAAAATTTCACAATGAAAAAAAGAAAAATGATAAAATCAGAACCTTGCAAAAAAATTGAAAAGATAAAGAAAATAAAAACCAAAATGAAAAATTGCAAATCGAAAAATTGGAGAAATGATAAAAAAAATAATGAAGGGAAAAATTGGAAAGAAGACAAAACGAATCGAATCCAAAAATTGGAAAACCCAAAAGTTTTAAAGAATCCTCAAAATTTTACAGTTGATGAAATGTAACAGTGAAAGAATGAAAAATTGAAAAAATACATATCGAGAAATTCAAAAATTGAAAATCGCGAAATTAAGAATCGAAAAACAAAAAAATGGGAAAAAATGGAAAAATCGAAAAATTGAATAAACGAGAAACTGGAAAATCGAAAAAGGGGAAGATAACAAATCGGAAAACTGAACAAACGAAAATTTGATCTTGATTTCCAATTTTTAGATTTTTCAAAGTTTTCATTTTACAGTTTTTCGTAATTTCATTTTTAATTTTCCAATTTTACAATTTTGCTATTTAAATTTTTTTTTTATTCGAAAAGGTGAAAAACCTAAAGACTGAATTATCCAAAAATTGAAAAGTCGGAAAAAATTGAAAAATCGAAAAAGTGGAAAATCGAAAGAGTGCAAATCGAAGAACTGAAGAAACGAAACATTGAAAAATTAAAAATCAAGTAACCAAAAAATCCAAAGTAATCAATGAATCGAAAAATTGGAAAACTCAAAATTTATAGATTCATCAAACCGAAAAAGTGTAACAACACTGAAATATGGAAAAATTAAAAATTGAAGAATTGAAAAATCGAATAAATATAAAATAAAAAAAGTAGAAAACTTGCAAATCGGAAATTGAAAAATCGAGAAACTGAAACATTTTAAAATGAAAACTTCAAAAATCTCAAAGTTGAAAAACCGAAAAATTAAAAAATCCAAAAATTGAAAAAATTCTTGTGTTTCTTTTTGGTGGCTAAATAATAATGTAATTAAGACGGTGTATGTTAAAAAATAAAAATAGTCTGTTTTAAAACAAATTTTATTTTTCCTTTTAGAACCCAAGAAGAGAATTTATTAAACTAATGCAAAAATATGTGCAATAATTTTTTATGATTGTAATAATAATATATTTAATAATAACAGAATTGCTTAAAAAAAATCAAAAAAGTAATTTTAAAATAATCAAAGACTTGTAAATAAAAATCTCAAAACAACATTTATCTAACTAACGTTACGTGTTGTTTTGCCAACCTTGAAGAATCAGGTTTACAATTTTAATTATTTTTTATTTTCATAAGTATTTAAACGTTCAAAGTCTGGGAATCCGTCAAGTGCACTCCCAAACGAAAAATGAACAGTTTAGTGTTCTGTGTAATATTTTTGCTAATTTCTTGCAGCGGCCTCCAACTTCGTAAGTATTTATTAGCTACGTTTAACATTTTTCTAAATAAAAGTGAAGCTTCCAGTTTCAAAAAATGTGATCGAAGAAGAAGCGACTTTAACCGGTGTTTAAGCAAGGCTATTTATAAAGCTGTCAAGGTTCTAGACAAGCCTTTGAAATTTTATGGTTTGCCAAGTTTATATGAAGTCGCATTTCCTCCAGAATTTGTAATTGAATTTGGAAATAGTACATATGGATTAAGACAAAAGTATACTAACTACAGACTTATTGGTCTTACTAAGCCACAAAGTATAACAGCTAGGTATTAATTTAACTCTGTCCAAATTTTTTATTTATTAATTTTGATAATAGACTATATCCTGGCCCGTTAGCTAGTATACTGACAATAGAAGCCACTTACCATAAACTCGAGTGGGAAGTTGAATTGGAAGCCCAAGGAACCCTCGTTCTTTTACCTTTGAACGTAAAAACACCACTCGATTTCACTTTCGGTGGGTATTTGCAAGCAATTTTCCAACTAATATATAATAATAAAATGTTACTTCTTAGAGAACCCAACGTTCACTTTCACTTTTGAATTAGAAGAATACGAAAAAGGTGCTACTTATTTCAGAGTAATTGATTCTGGATTGGATATGCAAGCCCATGGTATTAAGTTTGATTTTAAACACTTATTTTCAAACAGGCATCTAAATAAGGAATTTAATTCGGAAATGAGCGCGAAAGGGCGGCAAATTTGTATCCTTTTCAAGAGCTTAGGAACGTTCTTTGGGCGCTATTTTGGCTCGGTGTTCAATAGCTTGTTGGAAAAAGTGCCAGCTAGTGAACTTTTTGACGGTTAATTGTTTTGTTTGTGTAAATTTTGACGAAGAGTAAAAGTTTTGACATTTTTGCGCAGTTTTATTATTTCTCACTAGATTTACATATCTATAAGTAGTTTATTTATGATAATATTCAGGAAGCAGGTTTAGAATTGTTGTGCCATTATTACTTTTTGGTCATTTTGTAACTAAGTATTTAAATACAGACACACCGAAAATTTATTAAGTGTAGTTCGACACACAAAATGAAGAGTTTAGTGGTTTGTGTGGTAACTTTGGCCACTTTTTGTAGCAGTCTCCGATTGCGTAAGTGTTTCATTAAGTTGTTTAATAAGTTTTATAAATAAACTTTGAAGCTTCTGGTTTCAAAAAATGTGACAAGAGACGTAGCGATTTCAACCAGTGTTTAAGCGATGCCGTTTATGACACTCTTAGAATTCTAGACAAACCTGTGAAATCTCATGGTTTACCAAGTTTGTACGATGTTGAATTTCCACCAGATGCTGTTATTGAAGTAGGAAACAGTACGTATGGATTGACACAGAAGTTTAGCAGATTCAGATTAGTCGGTCTTTCTAAACCACAAAGTGTCACAGCTAGGTCTAATTTTTTTTGTGTGTTTAGCATTTTTATTTTTTGGTCTAAACACTTAGGTTAGATTTTGGGCCTGTGACTAGTACTTTAACAATAGAGGCTTCCTTCGCTGAACTTACATGGGAGTGTGAGTACGAAGCTCGAGGTACTCTTGTTCTGTTGCCTCTGGACGTCACAACATTTCTTGAATACAATATGGGTATGGTTAATGAATTATTATATTTAATTTTGTTAAGATAAAATAGCAAGTGCTTGTTCTAGATCATCCAACGTTCACGTTTACAATTAAATTGGAAGAATACGAAAAAGGTACTACCTACTTTAGAGTGATTGATTCTGAATTCGATATGCCAGCACTGGGTGTCCGAGTTGATTTTAAGCAATTATTCTCTAACAAAGTTCTTAACGATGAATTTAATTCCGCCATGACTGAAAAAGGGTTGCAAGGTTTGCACCACTTTAAACATTTGCAGGCGCATTTAGCACCATATCTTGGTTCGATCGTCAGTAATTTCCTGGACAAAGTACCAGTGGCTGAACTTTTTTAGAATAGTGGTCTGCTTGAAACAAGGAAACTATGTAAAGTTGTGTAACAATAAAAGTCTTGAATTTGAAATGTGTTAAGCATTATTCAGAGTTACATTGATCTTATGTTGCACTGATTCTTCCACATACAGGATGGTCCACGAGTAATAAAGAGCCTGATAAATATAGCTCTACATACCTCCACTTACTCTAGAACAATTAAAAAATGAACTTTCCAAAACCACTAATCCACTTCTTGAAGATATCAACAACAAACCACCAAACACATTACTGACTGACACATTTACTAAAGATTTTTTAAACAAAACACCTCAAAATAAGATCACAACCATAACACAAATTACCAACACACTATCAAACAGATCCCAGACATTAACTGACAAATCACTTAACAATTTATCAAGAACAATCCAAAACCAAATTAACATCACAGATAATCTACAAAACACGTACTACAACACCGAAGACACATTAATCAAAACTGTAAGCAACAATTTTAAATTTCACATTAATTTCCAAAATGAAATTGAAGACCAATTTAAATTAACTTTCGAAACATGTTCTAAATTAAAACCAAATGATAGACATTCACTTCCCAGCCAGTGTTATTTTAAAAAGTTTCTGGCAATTGTAGAAATAATGAACTCCTTCGTTTACCAAAATATCTCACAAACTCGATCTCTTTTGAAAAACTTCATACAATTATCTACTGTGCAGCTTTAACTTGTATTCAAATTAACACATGTAAAGATAACATAATAAATACAAACACCAATCGTATACCTTCCACCCCTCATTGGAATCACGGTTAAATTATAAAATTAATAACATTAGAAAACAACTAGGTCAAATAACACAGTACCTTAGAGGATTACGATGAGTACAATACAATACTATCCCAAATTAAAGGTACCCTAGTACAAAAGCTTTCCTTATATAGCAAAAGACTTAAAAGATACAAACAATCACATCTCAGAAACATTCATAACACTAAATTTTTAAACAACGAAAAACTATTCTATCAACATTTAACTAATTCAAGCAAAACTCAATTATCCGGTGAACTTCCAAGTTCACAGGATGTAACAACATTTTGGTCAAAACTTTGGTCTCAAGAATTTGAATTTAACCAATCTGCCAAATGGATTCCTCATATATCCCATAAACTATCCACAGTTACACCAATGAATGATCAAGAGATAACACTTGCCGGATTAATAAATACCATCAATAAGACACACAACTGGAAATCACCAGGACCAGACAAAATCCATAATTTTTGGATAAAAAAATTAAATTGTGTACATATTCATTTACTACATCACTTAAATCAGTTCCTTCTTGACCCATCCTCCTTTCCAACATTCTTATGTTATGGTGTAACATACCTAAAACCTAAAGATAACGACACAAAAAATCCATCAAAATACAGACCTATAACATGTTTACCGACAATCTATAAAATATTAACCTCATGCATTACCCAAAAAATCTATCAACACTGTTTTAACTCTGACATCATTAATGAAGAACAGAAAGGATGTATTAAAGGAACCTTTGTTTGCAAAGAGCAATTAATCATAGATTCCATCATCTGTGAACAAGCTAGAAAAGAAAACCGAAACATATATACTGCTTTTATTGATTATAAGAAAGCTTACGATTCTGTCCCTCATTCCTGGCTATGCAAAATTCTGGAATTATACAAAGTTGATACTAAAATCTGCACTTTTCTCAAATGTTCCATGGAATTTTGGAAGACCACCCTTAAATGAACAAACAATTCAGTCAGATCCAATAATGATCCGAAGAGGAATTTTTCAAGGCGATTCTCTTAGCCCGTTATGCTTCTGCTTAGCAATAAATCCCCTCTCCGATATCCTGAACAGCTGCAATTATGGGTTCAATATAAGAATTAACAAACAAAGAGAAAACAGAATAAGTCACTTGCTGTATATGGATGACATAAAAATATATGCAAGTACACAAAATCAGTTAACAACCCTATTAAATCTGACTGAACAGTTTTCCGGTGATATTGGTATGTGTTTTGGTATTGAGAAATGTAAGACCCAAGCAATCAGAAAAGGCGTCCAACACCAAGTACCACATATAACCCAGAATAACGAAATAATCGAACCCCAAGAACGAAATGATACATACAAATATCCGGGTTTCTGTCAATCCTCCCACATCAATCATACCAAAACGAAAACACAGTTGAAAGATCAATACCTAGCGAGATTAAAATTAATACTGAAGACACAGTTAAATGGAAAAAATTCAATGAAAGCAGTAAATACATTCTGCGTTCCACTGCTAACATATTCTCTTGGAGTGATTAAATGATCCAAAACTGATCTTGAAAATTTAACATCGCAACAAGGAAAATCTTCACACAGTATAGAAGGCATCATCCAAAATCGTCCATTGAACGATTCTCATTACCAAGAAAAAATGGAGGAAGGGGTTTCCAGAACCTAGAAAACTTATATCAGAGACAAATCTCAGATCTGAAGAAGTATTTCTTGAAACGAACAGAAAGAAATGAAATGTTTCGCACCATCACAAGGGCAGATTTGAACCACACACCCTTAAATCTGTCGAACACCGAAGAAATCTCACCCCCCACACAATAGACAAAATAATAAGTGGGCTAAAACAAAAGCAACTACATGGAAAATTCTACAAAGACTTAGAAGAAACTCATGTCAACAAGAAGATGTCATTGATTTTGTTAAAAAAATCAAGTTTGTATGCCGAAACAGAAGGATTTGTGTTTGGTATTCAAGACCAAGTAATCAATACCAAGAATTATAGAAAATACATTATCAAAGATCCGAACATAAGAAACGACTGCTGTCGCCTGTCATTTAATTGAGAGCAAAACTATTTAAAATCTGGCGTTTCAGAAAATAGGGACACCTATAAAAACTGTATTTGTATTCTTTATTATATCAGTGAACGTACTCATCGCAGGTAGTATGCCGGATTTAACGTCATGAATGCCACCAAAAATAATTAGGTAGTCGTTGACTGTAAGCACAAACGGTCGGCCGGAAGTAAGAAAGTCTTTGAGGCACCGACAAGCGTCCGAACCCTAGATGGTCAGCTACAAGCAGCTACAACATATAATCTGAGCCTTAGTAATCATAGTCATAAAACACTAATAAACTTATTTTATGAAGCTAATTCATTAGTGGTGTTTTGTTGGTTGCCTATTTATAGATAAAAAAATTGAAATTGCCACTACCTCAAACTATTTATTGTTAGAACAAAATTACAAATAAGTGCCCAGAAATTTCGAAAACTGTACAGGTGCCATTCATACCGAAACTAACATGCATTAAATAAAAAAAAAGACAGGTTTCGCGTTCAACTTCCTGACTCAAGTAAGGAACATTCTTCGTACACATAAAACCGCCTGCTACCACACTCCCGTCCACCAGTCGACGACCAATTTCGCCCCACTTTATCAAATTAACAATCACATCACATACTTCTCTATCTACCAACTTCCTGAGGAACTAATAGGGTCAAGAGCTTCCAAATCTTCAGTCGTGATCCAACAATGAGCCCGTTTACCAAATGATAAAACGATGATTAAAATTTGTGTGATCATCTCCACCAATGATGATATGACATAATCTACAATTTTTAAAATATAAGAAAAGTTATTTAAATTGCATAAAATAAGAACCATACTCCTCTAGTTGTAGTTTATCAATCCGTGCTGACTTTTTAACCTAGGTAAATTTTTTCTGTGAAAATAAACCTCTGAGTAAACAAGTTATAAAAAATCGACGACTTCAAAAGTCGAGAAGTCGAAAAATTAAAAAATCGAAAAATTGAGAAACCGAAATAGGGCAAAATCGAAAAGTTAAAAATAGAAAAATTGATAAATTGAGAAATTCAATCGTCAAAATATCCGAATATCCATATCTCGATAAATCGAGAAATCAAAAAATGAAAAGCTCGAAAAACTGAAAAATCCAAAAATTTTAAAAAAGAAAAATTGAAAAATCGAAAATTTAAAAGTTCAAAACTTTGAAAAATTGAAATATAGAACTGAAAACTCGAGAATTAAAAATTAAAATATCGAAAAGTTGAAAAATTGAAAAATCTAAAATATAAAAAACGAAAAATTGAAAATCCAAAAAGTAAAAAATCGAGTAATCGAAAAATTCAGAAGTCGAAAAATGAAATGGTCCAAAAAATCGAAATACTGAAAAATCCCAAGACTGAAACATCAAGAAATTGGAAAATAAAAGAGAAATTGAAAAATCCCAAAACTGCAAAAACATCCAAAAATTGAGAAATTAAAAAATTGCAAAATTCAAAAATCAGAAACCTGAGAAAAACTGAAGAACTGAAAAATTGAAACTTTGGGAAATTGAGAAATGGGAAAACCAAAATATAGATTCATTCAGGAATCGGAAAACAAAATATCTAGAAACGTCAAAAATTGAAAAATTGATAAATCGAAATATTTAAAAACGAAAAATTGAAAATCCGAAAAATAAAAAATCGAATAATCGAAAAGTTCACATGTCGAAAAATTGAAAAGTCGAAGAATCGAGATATTGAAAAATCCCAAAACTGAAATATGGAAAAATTGAAAAATAGAAAACAAATCGAGAAATCGAAAACTAGAAAAATCGAAAAGTTGAGAAATTTTAAAAATCGAGAAACCAAGATGACAAGAAATCGAAACATAAAAAAAACCTAAAAAAAAATGTAAAAGTTCAAAATTCGAACAATTGAAAAATCGACAAATTCAAACATCAAAAAATCAAGAAAATAAAAATTAAAAAAATCTAAAACTCAAAAATCGAAAAATCGAAAAGCCGAAAAGTAAAAAATCAAAAAACCGAGGAATCGAAAATCGAAAGCATGGAAAGATACCAAAACTAAGACATCGAGACATCGAAAAATCAAAAGATCGGGAAATCGGGAAGTAGAAAAGTGGAGAAGTTGAAAAATCAAACTATCGGATCATCCAAATCTCAATAAATCGAAGAAGAATTGAAAAATCGAAAATTTAAAAATTCGAAAAATTGACAAATTGAAACAGAACTGAAAAATTAAAATATCAGGGAAGTTGAAAAATTTAGAAATCGAAATATAAAACAATTGAAAAATTGAAAAATCTATAATTTAAAAAACGAAAAACTTAAAACCGAAAAATAAAAACCCAAGTAATCGATAAATCGAAAAGTCAAAACATCGAAAAATTGTAAAAACCCAAAACTGAATGAAATATGCAAAAATTGGCAAAATAAAAAACTGAAAAATCAAAAACCTGCCAAAAATTGAAGAACTGAAAAATCGAAATAGGGAAATCGGGAAGTGGGAAAATAAAAAAAATTGATTAATTGAGAAATCGGAAAACTAAAAATCTAGAAACGTAGAAAATTGAAAAATTGACAAATCAAAATATTTAAAAACGAATAATTAAAAATCCAAAAAGTAAAAAATCGAGTAATCAAAAAATCCGGAAGTCGAAAAACCAAAAAATCGAAAAATCGAAATATTGAAAAATCCCAAAATTGAAATATCGAAAATTGGAAAAAAAAATCGAGAATGTAAAAATTAAAAATTGAAAAATTGAGAAATAGAAATACTGAAAAACTGAAAAATCGAGAAATAATAAAATCAAAAATCTAAAATTTAAAACAGTGCAAAAAAATTTAAATATCGAAAAAATTGAAAAATCGAGAAATGCGACCAAAAAATCATAAACTTAGAAATAAAAAATCTAAAATTTCAAAATCGACAAAACTAAAAAATCGATGAAGTGAAAAATGGAAAAATTTGAAAAGCCGAAAAGTAAAACATCGAAAAACTGAGAAATCGAAAAATTAAAGGACGGAAAACTGAAAAATCCAAAAATTTTTAAAAAGGAAAATTGAAAAATCGAAAATTCGAAACATGGAAAAATTGAACTATAGAACTGAAAACTCGAGAATTGAAAAATTAAAATATTGAAAAGCTGAAAAATTGGAAAATCGAAATACAAAACAATTGAACAATTGAAAAATCTAAAATATAAAAAACGAAAACTGAAAACCCAAAAGGTGAAAAATCGAGAAATCGAAAAATTCAGAAGTCGAAGAATTGAAATATTGAAAAATTGAAACAACTGAAAACTCAAAAATTGAAAAATAAAAATATCGAAAAGTTAAAAAATTGAGAAATCGAAATATAAGACAATTGAAAAATTGAAAAATCTAAAATTTCAAAAACTAAAAACTTAAAACCGAAAAAATGAAAACCCGAGTAATCGAAAAATCTAAAAGTCGAAAAATCGAAAAGTCAAAAAATCGAAAAATTGTAAAATCGAAAAGCGGAAAAGTAAAAAATCACAAAAACCGAAACATGGAAACATTCCAAAACTAACACATCGAGACATCGAAAAATCGAAAGATCGGAAAATCGATAAGTTGAAAAATCAAAAAATCGAAAAATTGAGAAATCAAAAAAGGCTAAAATCGAAAAATTGAAGGTTGAAAACTTGATAAATCGAAAAATTGAACAATGAAAATATCGAAACATCTAAATCTTGTTAAATCGAGAAATCAAAAATTTGAAAAATTGAAAAAATTAAATATACTCGTAGAACTGAAAGTCGAGAATTGCAAAATTTAAAGATCGAAAAGTTGAAAAATTGAGCAATCGAAAAATAAAACAATTGAAAAGTTGAAAGATTTATAGTTTAAAAAACGAAGAATTGGAAATCGAAAGAAATAAATAATCGAGCAATAAAAAAATTCAGAAGTTGAAAAATCGAAATATTGAAGAATCCCAAGATTGAAACATCGGAAAATTGAAAAATACTAGAAGAAAATTTGAAAATCCAAAAAATAAAAAATCGAATAATCGAAAAATTCAGATGTCGAAAAATCGAAAAGTCGAAGAATCGAGATACTGAAAATCCCAAAACTGAAACATGGGAAAATTGAAAAATCGATAAATCGGAACATCAAAAAATAAAAAAAAAAATAAAAATTGAAAAATCTACAATTACTTTTTTTTTTATTAAAATTTATTTGTTTATTTAAATCGAAACATGGAAAAATTCCAAAACTGAGACATCAAGACATCGAAAAATCAGTAATCGAGAAATCGAGAAGTCGAAAAGCCGAGAAATCCAAGCATCCAAATCTCAATAAAACGAAAAATAAAAAAATTGATGAAAAATCGAAAAATTTTAAACAAAAATAAAAAAATCGAGAATTTAAAAAGGAAAAAAATCGAAAAGCTGAAAAATCTCAATGTCCATAGTGAAAATTCAACGTGTATTCATAAAGCACAAGTTTAGGACTAGGTTATTTTTCAACAATCAAATAACACTTATTCGACAAAGTGAAACTTTTATAACTTTTTTATCTGAAGAAAATCTATTTTTAAGAAAACAAAATCTGTTATAATTACAAAAATTATCATATTCAGTGTTTACGTCTATCCCTGACCTAACCTCTAAATAAATTAGAACATTTATTGGTGATTAACGTGTCTTTATTGTAGACAAGATTTACGTAACAAACCCATTTTAGTATAAAATGCTGCTTTTATTACCTCTTAAGAAGCAGGTTTTCAAAATTTGTGCCATTTTTTGTGGTTGTTGCTTCCTATATATAACCACAGAAGAATTGAAACTTTATTAAGTGAATTTCCACCACGAAAATGAAGAACTTACTCTTTTGTGTAGTAGCTTTGGCGACACTTTGTGACTGCTTGCAATTTCGTAAGTATATTTTAACAACTAAACTGATAGTCTTTGTAAATAGATGTTGAAGCTTCTAGTTTCAAAAAATGCGATAAGAGACGAAGCGATTTCAACGACTGTTTAAGTGACGTAGTTTACAACAGTCTTAAAGTACTCGACAAACCTCTGAAATCGCATGGTTTACCAGGATTGTATGATGTTGAATTTCCACCAGATGTTGTGGTAGAAATCGGAAACAGCACGTATGGATTATTGCAAAAATTTGCTAAATTCAGGCTGACTGGTCTTTCGAAGCCCCAAGGTGTAAAAGCCAGGTATTATTCTATTATCAACTATTTTTATTTGATAACGTACTTAATTAGGTTAGATTTTGGGCCTCTAACTAGTACTTTAACAATAGACGTTTCTTACTCTGAACTGACATGGGGAGTCGACTACGAAGCCCAAGGTACTGCGGTTCTTCTGCCTTTAAATGTTGTAACACCTGTGGAACTTATTATGTGTGGGTATTAATTATTTACAAATGTCAAGATTAATACATGTGAACGTTTTAGACAATCCGACGTTTAGTTTTACAATTAAACTGGAAGAATACGATAAAGGTACCACCTACTTTAGAGTGATTGATTCTGAATTCGATATGAAGACAGCAGACCGTTTCAAATTCGAATTTAAACAATTATTTTCCAACAGACGTCTCAATGATGAATTTAACTCCGCACTATCTGAAAAAGGGTTGCAAGTTTTACATACTTTTAAACATTTACAAGTGGTATTTGCACCTCGTTTTGGTTCTATTTTCAACAGTTTCCTGGAGAAAGTACCAGTTGCTGAGCTTTTTGAAGATTAGATATTTAGGTCGAAGAAAAATATATAGTTATGTTTTGTGCTTACGCTAATTTGCGGACATAGTTTTTATTGATAATAAAGTTTATGGGTTTGGAATGTTTTCGTTGCTATGATTTTTTCCGAGTACTAGAATAGTTTTATCTATTTTATCATTTGAAAGAGATTTTATGTTAAAATAATTTTATCGGTTTCGGACTGTCCTTAGCATTCACAAAAGTTAGTTTGTAATGCACCTTGATTGGAATGATTACTTTTGAACAGTAATGCATTACTTTAACAATGACTTTTTGCACTTCGAAAAATTTGATGAAAACACAATTTTAGATATTTGTTGTATATGACCAGAAAAATGGCTAAAGTTTGTTTGACCAAAAATTTTAAATATTCTACCCCCTTTTACTCAATTATTTATTAAGATAATTTATTTCTGTAAAGCGCAATGGATTTTTTAATACAATTTCTACTAATGTACCTTTCTGAAAATTTAAAATTAATCCATAAATAGCGAAAACCAGATAATCTCGTTGACTGGGTCAATTTATTATATTGATTAAATCAAGGACTGCAAAACTGAATACCTTGAAATCTTGACGTTTTGTGAGCATAGTAATTTTTAGTCAAAATGTATGATTCTCAACCCCAAAAAATTGATCGTCATCTCAAAATTTTCCGAATAATGAGTCCGTTAATAATGGACAATTTCTTTCTTACAATTTAACTATCAAATGCACAAACCGATACATGGCAGCATAGGTTTTATTATCAATAGTGCCAACGTAATGTGACAAAATACTAACATTGCTGATTTAGTGATGACGAGTGTCAAAGAACCGACTCCTATCAAAGTTACAAATAAGCCAAACCGGAGATCCCATGTTGCTGCCATCAGACCAAAATCTAAACAGAACACAAGGGCCGAACAATGTGACCTTTGCTCAGGTACGTCACGATGAGATTGCAAACATTATTTTTCATATTTCGGCCGGGAAATTGCACATTTTCAAGGTTAATTTAATAATATTTAAGCAAATTGCTTTGTTTTTAGTAACTTTGTGTTCTTAAGAAAACGGTGTTCGATTTAATTAACATATATTAATACGTATCGTATTTAAACATTATAAATAATATTAATTATATTTAAATATTATTTAATTATATGGTGAAAATTTATAGCTTTGTTCGACCAACTTCAATCGTCTTGAAACTTTCTCCAAAATTTAAACTTTGTCGAGTAAACGAATCACGAAACCTGATAAATTAAAACTGAAGTCGTGCTTACCCTGTTTTCGGTCCTTTTCGGAAGAATATCCATTTTCTTCCGTGTTCACAGCACCAACACAACACATTTTCACTAATATTTATTAATAATAAATTAGAAATCCACGAAAAGAGCCCTACTTTTAAGCCAAACTGGAGTTCCAATGTTGCTGCCATCAGAACGAAATCTAAACTGAACACAAGGGGCCGAAAAATGCGACCTTTGAAGATGTAGCTCACGTGACAGTGACGGCATCGTACGTCACGATGAGATTGCAAAAATTATGTTTCATATTTTGGCCGGAAAATTGCCCATTTTCGGGGTTAATTTAATAATACTTAAACAAATTGCTTTATTTTTAGTAACTTTGCGTTTTGAAGAAAACGGTTTTAGATTTAATTATCATATATTAATACTTATCGTATTCAAACATTAAAAATAATATTAATTATGTTTAAATATTATTTAATTATATCCTGAAAATGATCGACCAACTTCAATCGTTTTGAAAATTTCCCCAAAATTTAAACTTTGTCGAGGAAACGAATCACGGAACCTGAGAAATTATAACTGAAGTCCTGCTTACCTTGTTTTCGGTCCTTTTCGGAAAAATATCCATTTTCTTCCGTGTTCACAACCATAACACAGCATATTTTCCCTAATATTTATTAATAATAAGTAAATTAGAAATTCGCGAAATTGCTCTACCTTTACGCCAAAAGGACGTGACGATCTTGTCGCCATCAACAGAAATTAAAACTGAACACAAAGGACCGAAAACCGTGACCTTTGGACAGGTAGCTCACGTGACAGTGACGTCATCGCACGTCACAATGAGAATACAAAAATTATTTTTCAAATTTTGGCCGGGAAATTAAGACATTTTCGGAATTAACTTAACAATATTTAAAAAAATTGCTGTTTTTAATACCATCGTGTTTTTACTAAAACGGTTTTCGGTTTGGTTATCATATATTAATAGTTACTTACCATATTTGACCATTGTAAATAATATTAATTATGTGTAAATTTTATTTATTAATATTATTATATCGTGAAAATGTATAGCTTTGATCGATCAAGTTCAACCGTTTCGAATTTTTTTCCAAAATTCAAACATTGTTAAGTAAACGAAACACGGAACCCGATAAATTAAAACTGAAGTCGTACTTACCCCGGTTTCACTCCTTTTCGGAAAAATATCCATTTTAATTCGTGTTCACAGCACCAACACAACACATTTTCACTAATATTTATTAATAATAAATTATAAATTCGTGAAAAGAGCCCCACTTTTAAGCCAAACCGGAGTTCCAATGTTGCTGCCATCAGACCGAGATCTAAACTGAACACAAGGGGCCGAAAAATACGACGTTTGAACAGGTAGCTCACGTGAGAGTGACGTCATCGTACGTCACGATTAGATTGCAAAAATTATTTTTCATATTTTGGCCGGGAAATTGCACATTTTCTGGATTAATTTAATAATATTTAAACAAATTGCTTTGTTTTTAGTAACTTGGCTTCTTGATGAAAACGGTGTTCGATTTAATTATCATATATTAATACTTATCGTATATAAACATTATAAATAATAATAATTATGTTTAAATATTATTTAATTATATCGTGAAAATGTATAGCTTTGATCGAGCATTGATTAAATAGATATAGATAGACCCATGCTATTGTTTGGAGCGAACAGGCCAACGGCCGGCGAACAAGAGATGGCGCACCAACAGTCGGCCGTCAAACGCCGGCGAAAAGCTTGGACACCAATCGCGCGCGTAGATAACCCAAATCGCAGCAACAATACATTTAATAAAGCTAGCACTCGACAGAGGGCGACGAAAACAATGTGTAAAAATCTCATAGTAACCATTTATATAATTTGCAACGTTGCCAGATGAGCCTAGCACAACTTTGCCGTTATTTCTAGTCGATTAGATTTTATTTCGTTTAAAAGTTTCTGGTGAATAAATGGAATTATTATAATGAATAAACAATACAAACAAATTATTACTTGTTATTTTAAATACTTGTTAGTGTTGATGAAAACATAAATGGTAATTAAAGTTATTCTAAATACGGTCCGGTCCGGTAGCTCAAATTTTACAGTACGAGTGATATGTTTCAGGTCGAGTAGGTAGCCGAGTCTTTAATTTCGAAACGAGTACTGCGAAAAGAGTTACCGGACGTATGTTGTTATGTATTTTATTTCATACTGTCAACATACTTTTTTATTCGATAATATTATTATTATTTTGAGAAAAAATCCAAATCGAGTCACTTTTTCTGACATCGTTAGCAACCGCTCTTTGGTAAATGTTTTAATTTGTTTATTCGTGCAAATCAGCATCATATGTTTAAACACATAGTACTTATAACACTTTACAGGACTTATTGTTTTGTATAATCCGACTCGATGGACGAATGTTTTGTGCAATCCGTCTCGAAGGACCAATGTTTGTGCAACTCGGCTCGTCCTACCAGTATTTTTTGTAATCTGGTTGATACGACAATGTGATACCGAATTGTACTTTGATATTGCTCCAAGGACCTTTGTTTTCTTGTGTGCGAGATAATAGACAGCGTTCGGTTTCGATGTTTAATACAGGACGGTTACAGAAATACTAAATTTACATTTGTATTTACAATAACAGGTAAAGCAAAAGAGACCCAAAAGGGTCAGTGGCCGCTTCCGGAAATGGAACACTTGTCCTTTTTGGCTCAATTTTATCGGACTTGTCCGTTTTTTTGATTTTACCGGAATCGTTCGATCCAGTAAAACGTCATTAATTCCTATTGGTAAACTGGGATTTTGAATAGAGGTCGCAGGAAAATTTTGTATGGTTTTATGGTTTATTTACATAATTTTCTTATTTACAATGAATGTTTTTGATATATAATACAAGTTCTTGATATTATTTATTTTAATTACATTTAATAAACCATAAAACCACAAAAATCTTTTTTTAACACAAATTATATTTCAATAAATTTTTAGTAGCGAATTATCGATACACTTAATTGTATTTACATCATAAAATTTATTTATTTTACTTCATACTATGTCAAGTTTGACGTTTTACTGGATCGAACTGTTCCGGTAAAATCAAAAAAACGGACAAGTCCGATAAAATTGAGCCAAAAACACGGAGGTAGAAGAGACACTCTTCTACCTCCGTGGCCAAAAAGGACAAGTCTTCCATTTCCGGAAGCGGCCACTGACCCTTTTGGGTCTCTTTTGCTTTACCTGTTATTGTAAATACAAATGTAAATTTAGTATTTCTGTAACCGTCCTGTATTAAACATCGAAACCGAACGCTGTCTATTATCTCGCACGCAAGAAAACAAAGGTCCTTGGAGCAATATCAAAGTACAATTCGGTATCACATTGTCGTATCAACCAGATTACAAAAAATACTGGTAGGACGAGCCGAGTTGCACAAACATTGGTCCTTCGAGACGGATTGCACAAAACATTCGTCCATCGAGTCGGATTATACAAAACAATAAGTCCTGTAAAGTGTTATAAGTACTATGTGTTTAAACATATGATGCTGATTTGCACGAATAAACAAATTAAAACATTTACCAAAGAGCGGTTGCTAACGATGTCAGAAAAAGTGACTCGATTTGGATTTTTTTCTCAAAATAATAATAATATTATCGAATAAAAAAGTATGTTGACAGTATGAAATAAAATACATAACAACATACGTCCGGTAACTCTTTTCGCAGTACTCGTTTCGAAATTAAAGACTCGGCTACCTACTCGTCCTGAAACATATCACTCGTACTGTAAAATTTGAGCTACCGGACCGGACCGTATTTAGAAT